TCATTTCAACTTAGTTTTTATTATAAAAGTATTACAGAGAATAATTAGTTTTTAATCTGTCGGTTCGAATCAAAGGCAAGTTGAAATCTATTCATGCCATTCGTGTGTAGCAAGAGCTCCCGTCCACAAGACTTGGGCAGGGCATCATTGTGGATGAAAGTGAGAAATGAGAGAAAACCAAAAGTAATATAATTATGAGCCATTAAAAGGCTGATATGCACAACAGTTTAAGGGATGGGCATATAATGGCAATTAAAAACCGGAATCCATTATTAGCACAGTAAGGAAACCAAGGATACTAACTAGGAACTGGAAAAATCTCACCTAAAGTCATGGAGATTATTTTAGCTTCACCATACATTTGAGGTATGACAGGGCAGGTCCTATTTGTTGTCTCATTATTAAACAAGACAATGATAATGGAATATTAAATTCCCAGTAGCCTGGAGCATCCAAAATTTTACTTAATGAAGCACAGCTGCAAACATAAAATCTAAGAACAGCTAGCTAAATGCAGGGCCATGCCCCTCCTGTGGCTACAGTCAGTTTTGCATGAAGGTGATTATAGAAAGGGCTTTATAGAAAGAAAAGGACTTAACCATAATTAACAAAGAAAGCTATCTCTCTTGGATTAATGATGGCATCTTCACCCCATCATTTAAAAACCTCCTTCATTCACATGCACTGCACGTCATGTGTTGAAATAGAAACGTTCTGAATTAAGTGACTCACCAGTTGTCATGGCCTTGAGATAAACCTTACAGCTGTGACAGCCAGTAGCCATGTGGCTATTCCATTAGAAATATGGCTAGCCCTACATTTGCAGTGATAATATTTTGTATACATATTCGATTAAATAAACTATACTATTAAAATTAATTTCACTTGTTTCTCTTTACATTTTTTAACATGATTACTACAACACTTTAAATGACGTGGTTTTCTTTCTACCAGACAGTCCTGCTTTAGAGGTTTGGTGATCATTTAATACTGCAACAACAACAACAACAACAAAGACACCTAATATCTCCCAAGCACTTCCTGTGATGCCAGGTCCTAGTCTAAGCATTTTATACATATTCCACCATTTAATCTTTATTGTGACTCCATGAGGTGGGGATTATTATCATCATGTTACAGATGAGAAAACCGAGGCACCAAATAGTAGAGTACTTGAGTAATTTGGCCGAAGAACAAAGTCATAAATGGAACCCAGGCAGTTCGCCTCCAAAGCACACAGTCTTAACTTCAAAGAGCTGCTCTACTCTTTCTGACAGATACCTTTGGTTAAAAAAGGGTCATGCAATTAAACCTTTTCTGTCTACTCCAGTTTACTGTCAGGAAAAAAAAAAATCACACATCTAAAGGTAAACAAAGTAGACACAGTCACACTTATTTATTGCCTTTTTGATAGCACCCCCTACAAGCACTTAAGTAAAATTCATGCTGGGGAAAATCACAGGCAATGCCTTATTTTAACCAACAAGATGCAAATAGTCCTGGAAAGGAAGGGTTGGGTTAGTTGCCTATGGGCAAAGAACCATCATCTGAGAAGCACTATTCTAGAAGAAAACAAATCCTAGTTAACTGTACTGAAAGCTAATCATCTTCTATGACTGATCACGGACACGTTGCCTGCAGCCATCTCCATGTGTTGTCTGGCTCCTCTGACATCCCACACAAGGGCCGAGAGTGCTGCCATTTTGTTGGGGTGACCCATTTTGTTTGGGTGGCATGATTTTGGCCTGATATTTTCAGAAGATGTTTAGAGGGGCCACGTAAGCCATGCTGACTACGTGGGGAATCCCAAGTCAATGTAAGGTTCGGTTAGCAATGCTGTATTTTAATCTAGATTATCACACAAGCCAGAGGTATCACACAAGTGCGCTGGCTGGCAAGGCTGATTTAAATGCCCAACTAGAATCACAAAAGGGAACAAAAGAGGAAAGATTCGTGTTTGCCTGCATGTGCTCTGAAAGGCTTCAAAGAAATCCACATCATACAAGTCAACACTTTGTGCTAACCGTTATATTTTATGGTGAATATGCTCAAATTTTACTCGAGTGCAGGCACCCATGCTGGATGAGAGGGAAGAAAAGAGAGAATACAGAGACTGTAGAGAAGTAGAAGAACGAGGGACTAGGAATGTTTTCTTTCTGTCAGAGGCAGACATGGAATTCCTGACTACTTGGCTTTTCCGAATTGGCTGTTCGCCTTTCTGAAATGAACATTCTGTGCTAACTTCAGAAAGAATGTTGGCAGGGTCAGGGTGGGAAGGTCTGAAGCGATAATACTTGGATGGTGAATGCTTTCTTTTCCAAGGGCTGACACAGCTGTGACCTCCACAAAGCCAGCCAGCAAGGATCCAGTTTGGCCACATGAACATGAGCTGTTTTCCTCCCTTGGGAGAGAGAAAGGGACACATGAAGCAGTGTCTGGTAAAAGTAAAGTATTATCTTAAGATGGTTTGTAGCAAAGAACCTGGAAAGCAAATATGATTAATTTCTTTTCTGTTTCCCTGAAACACAGTACCTACAGAGAAGTTACATACTGGAAGGCAAACACAGATCTTACATTATTTCTTCTCTTTGAGCGTATGGGTGGCAGAGAGTGGAATAGTGAGTAGATATTTAAAAAGCACTTTCTCAGAGCCCCAGTTATAAAAATGATCAAAATGCATCTAAAAGACAAACACTTGGCAAAACATCCAAGCCCCAAACTCCGTCTTTTGTTTCAAATCTGGAGCTGTAATGAAACCCAGCATATGTTAATAGTCTTATTTCTCTCCAGCTAATCAGCGACTCTCTGCCTCTCCTTACATGGAATTCTCCATGAAAAGTAGCCAAATCAGCATTTCTTAACTTCATTATCTCAAACCTTTCTCTCTCTCTCTTTTTTTTTTTCTGAGACAGAGTCTCACTCTGTCATCCACACTGGAGCGCAGTGGTGCGATCACAGTTCACTGCAGCCTTGACCTCCTAGACTCAAGTGATCCTCCCACCTCAGCCTCCTAAGCAGCTGGGATCACCAGACATGTGCCACCATGCCTGGATAATTTTACTTTTTTTTTTTTTGTAGAGATGGGGGTCTTGCCATGTTGCCCAGGCTGGTCTCGAACTGCTGGGCTCAAGGGTTCTTCCTGCTTCACCCTCCCAAAGTGCTGAGATTATAGGCACGAGCCACTGAGCCTAGCTGCAAACCTTTCAATCTTTCAAGACAAAAGTATTTATTAATTGACAAAAAAGGAGCTTGAAAAAAAAGTCTCTTCCGCCAACCCTGCATATATAAATATTTGGGCTGTAACTTTATTATTATTTTTTTTAATGAAACAATGTTGGCATCACCATTAGGAAGAAAACTCATTTCTTATTTCATTATCTCCTTAAGGCTGGCAGATCCTGTTCTGAAACCAAATCACCAGTCCTTTCTTTATTGTCAGGGTCAGATTAAAAGGAAAAAATATCTGAAAGTAAAATGATTGCCAAAACAGCAGTGAGGCCAAATAAATTTGTTCAGCCTGGCCTTACATGACCTAACTTGGTTAAGGGAGTAGTGTCTCTACTACCCTTACCTTCTTCCAGGGAACCTGCCCCATTTACCCACTGAGAGGTAACACTGGATGTTTCAGGATGCTATCTGGCCCCTCTGGTGGCTCATTCAAAGATGGACATGTGACCCAAGGCCAGCCTAGTAGTTGGTTGGTCAATGTCTATTCAGACCCACCTACTGGAATACTTGACCTAAGACCCAGAAGGTCAACTGGTACTAGAACAATTGGACTGCTGGAGGTGGTCATTTCTATGAAAGACATCCTAAGTACCTTTCAATTTTGGACAGTCCTGGTTAACGGCTCAAATCCACTTTCTTACAAATCCTATCCATTTTTCCGGGCTTTATTTTCGGGAATAATGCAGAAGAAATTTGACACTTTCGTTAATCCAATCCATGCTGAATTTTGCACAACTGACATGTCCCTTCTAAGAATCATCCTCAACCATACATTCAGACCTCATGAGGTGATTTAAAGACCTCTCATTCCCCGGATGGTTCCCCTACCTCTGACATTGCCTCAATCCTATCTCCAATTCATCAGTTCCTACCCACATTTACTGCTCAGCCTAAATCATGCCTTCCCATGAAATGTGCCCAGGCCACACTCAGAAGGAAGCAATACAGTATAGTGGTCAGAAACATGGGTTTTGGAATCAGGCAAACCCAGGCTTAGTTTTTGGTTTCATCATTCATTAACCATGAATCTTTGGGCATGTTACCCAATCTCTCCATGCCAATATGTTCTATGTGAATACCCATCTCTCTATATTTGTGTTGCCACTGATAAAGTTGGTATGTGTAAAGTGCTGAGTAAAGCGCATAGCACACAGAAAGAACTCAATCAACGGTATGTTTTATTTCATTTCTCCATGTCCACAAATCTCTTTCTTTTCTGAACTGTGGGTAGGCTTAGTGGTCAGAGCATGATCTTTGGAATCAGACACCATGGCATGGTTACCAGTTGTGTGACTGTGGGCACGTAACCTTCTGTGTGGCTCGATCTCCTCTATAAAATGGGGTGTGCACAGCACATTCCTCGTTAAGACTGTAGAATGGGGGTACCAATAGCATCTACCTCATGAGTGTGTTGTTCATGAAGATGAAATGGGTCAACATTTATAAAGAGCTTAGAAGAGGTTCTGGCACAAAAGGTCATCATCATCGAGGACAGCTATTATTACCTCCTCAAGATTGAATACTTAAACAATACTCAGATTTCCTGCCTGCAATTCTCTTTAGTGAGTTAATTTCATTTGCGGCTAAGAAACCACGTTCCATAGCTTGCAGTTCTTGGGTTCAGAAACATGTTTGTGGGAAAGACTGCAGGAATCAATGACGTGCACAAGATCAAGAACAAATTCCTTACTGGTATACTCTAGCCATGCTGGACTGTTAAGTCAATACAAAACAAGTAAACACAGAAGCCTCACTTGAGGCAGAATATCTACCTGATGGTAAGAGATGGGGACGGGTCTCCGGAAGACTATCCACTCCACTATTTCGCTACACGGTGGTGTGGTCAAGGAACCTGTGTACCGATAATAGCTGCCCAGGGATGCAGGCAGGAGGTCCCGGAGGACGAAAGGATCCAGAAAGGTCTCCTTCTCTGTTAGGGGAAAAAGGGAAAAGAAAAGTACAATGGTAAGTCATGCCATTCCGCGCCGCAGACAGTCAACACCCTCGGCATGCTGGTGCCACATCACAAGCCTTATGTTTGTTTATATCCTGAGAAGCACTAGCATTTGGTGGTGGGAGAGCCTCAGTAAACAAAGCAGCATTTCCCAGGGTGTGTTCTGAGGACACCAGCGCCACAGTATATTTCAGTAAAAAACAGGTTCCATGATGAACACGGTTGGGTCACATTAAAGTCCCTCCCCCTTCCCCAGGAAATAGACAAAACACTCTAGCATACTAAAATCTCTGAGAAGTCTTGCAGAAAAGAAATGGGCTTGACTTTGTTTAACCCACCCCTTCCCAACCTTGTTTCATCATAGAACTCTTCTCCAATTATCTATGAACAGAGAGATAATCAGTGCAACAAACTTTGGGACACATAGAGAGACTCATTATGAAAAGAAAACTGTAAGCCACCAGTCACGTGCAATTCCAAAGCTGGCTACATTTCATTATGGTTTCTCCCAAGTCCTCTCCAAATCAAAGTGAAGTCCAACCAAGGCACAACTAGAAACTTAAAAAGAATGGCCCCAGGAACCAGCATTCTTTTTACAAACATGGAGGTGTCTTCCCTTAAACAGAAGAAATGACATTTAAGTTCAGACCCAACAATGAAAATACGATTAATCTATGAGGAAAGCAAGGCATGTAATGGGTTAGTGTCTGCTCAAGGTCACACAGCTCCTAAGAAGCAAAGCCAGGATGTGAATCCAGATGTCTTGACACCAGAGACACCACACACCTCTGACTTAGCGGAAGAAGGCACTGAGGTTAGCTATGTGAAAATGCAAGGGTGGGGGCAAACAAGGTGAAGAAAACCATTGTAAGCAGTAGAAACAGCATAAGCAAAGGCTCCGGGACAGGAAGGAACAGTGTCGCAGAGAAGATGAGGAAAATGTCTTGTAATTCTCCCAAGCACACCCAGGAAACTATCTAGCTTCTTTCATGAGTCAGAGAAGGTTCTAGTCTCTACATACATCTCCAGACATCTAGTCTTGAATTTACATCTGGGATTCTCTCCTCTTCTCTGTTAGAGACGCAATAAGACTACTGGAGTTCTGCTCATGAGGTCCCTTAGCTCCTTCATGGCTTCCACCATGGGCCCTGGGAACAGGGTTCCAGGGGACCTCATAGACACACCTGTGCCTACAGGAATATTATTCCCAAGCCTCATACCTCCCCCCTCCTTCCTTCCTCTTCTTATTTTTACACGGAACAACTAGTGCAGGCATTTGGGCAACTGTGCATCCCCAGACGCGAGAAGTCTGTGTAACTAGGGCATAATGCAAAAACCCAACAGAAATCAACTATATTATAATTAAAATTGCAATTTCCTTTTGGAAAAGATTAGTTGAAGAACACTTAACATTGATTTAGCCTCACCTATATGCCAGGCACTATTCTGAGTATTTACATGTTGCAAACACTTAAACAGCACTTACTATATGCAACAGGCCCTGTTCTAACAGCTTTATAAGGATACATTTATTTAATGCTTAAAATAACTCCAAGAAGTTAGTCCTATTATCATCCCCAGTTTGCAGAGGCGGGATGCAGAAACAGGTAGCTGGGTTTAGAATCCAGGATTTTATTATTCACATCACTATGCTCTCTTAGCTCACAACTCTATGAAGTATGTGCTTTCTAATACTCATTTTACAGGTGTGGAAATCAAGGCACAGAGAGGTTAAATAACCAAGCCCAAGCACTAGTGAACAGCGAAGTAACAGCAGTTATTCGTGAGGCTCAGAAACCTTGGCTGATTCTCAGAGAGGTGTTCAATTCGTCTTTTTCTAAAAGAAAAATTTAGTATTAACCAATAAATGCAAAACTCTTCAAATCACAGGGTTCTATAATCAAAATTACAAAAACAATTTCTGTTGTACAAAAGGCTAGAAATAACGGAATTGCCCCTCCGCCCACTGGCAAGTCTGGGCTTTAATTTAAACCTGGTTACCAGCAGCCTAATGACAGGGGAAATCTCTGCAAGCATGCTTGGCGGGGACTGGTTTGGCCAGGAGGAGAAAATATTTTGGCCTTTGCTTGCTGCCTCTGAGCTTCCTGGGCTGTGTCAACAGTCAACACAAAGCCCCAAGTGATAGAAGGGTGGGTAGGGCTTGGCACCACCAACTGCAAAACTGCCACCTTCATGTCTCCCTCATGTTGTAGGTGAACCTGGGGTCACACCGCTGCACACCAACCTGCCTTAGGATCAAGGCATCCAGGCCGAATGGCTAGAGAATCAGAAGAGCTTTCCCCCTGGGGCCCAATCCAACATTAGGGTTGCAGTTAAGCATGCGGAATGCTGACAGGAAGTGACAAGACAACCCCGGCAAACCCCTGGCAGCCAAGTCCCCATCTAAATACACTCTAGGGAGAGGCCACGGCTTTAAAGAGCATCAAAAGATAAAGCAAAAGCACCTGCCACACCAACAGAAGGAGATTAGATTTCAAAGGGGGAACACTGGACAGGGCTGGGCTCTTATGTAAGTTCTCCGACGGGCTTATGGATTGAGCAGGCATGATGGAAAGTGCGTGTGACCCCTGCTGCAAACTCCAAAGGGCCTCTCTGTTCTTGACCAACACCAGGGCTTCAGAGGCAAGTTCTGGCTTTCGTTGATCAGCACGTGCAGTCAGATCGGTGGCGAGGGGGGTAGACTCGGTACAAGGGACAGGGGAGGAGGGCCTGGCTTCACTGCTTATTCATTCCACCACTATTGCTGCCATTGAATCTTAGGACTGTGTGATCTGGGAGGGACTTGGACAGTTCAGCGGCTTAGTTCAGTGGCTTTGGAGGCCAAAGAATGGTTTCTTCAAACAAAATCTTGCCCAAGAGCCCAGCAACTCAAATAGTTAAGTCAGCCCTGGTGGCTGAAGCTGAGTAGGGGACCCAGGGACACTTGGAAAACCATCTATTTAGTCCAATTCTTTGACTTTAGGGCTGGGTAAGTAGAAGACCAGGGTGAAGTAACAGACACAAGGTCAAAAACATGAAGAATACAGAGACTCACATGGGATTCTTTATTCAGGGAATCTGAAACAGTATGCCTGGAGAGCAGGACACATCACTCAGTGCTGAAAACTGAGATCTAACCACTGCCTGCATCAGCACCCCCAGCACTTGTGCATTTCTTCAAGGGTGGCTGAGGAGAGCAGATTTTCATCCTGCCCAGGTTCAAATACCAACTCCGCTGTCAGCTGTGTGAGCTTAGGCAAGTTATGAAACCTTCTTAGGCTATAGTAGTGAAGATTATAAATAAGTCAATACAAGAAAGGGGTTCAGAAAGAGCTCGGAACACAGTAAACATTGCATACGTGATACATATTATTCTTACTCTAATTGTTACTACTTTTACTATTATTATTCCTCTAAGCTACCAATGTTTTGTCATTTACTTTCTTTAATGCTTTGTGCATATCTATTTTTTTTTTTTAAACTGGATTACTGCTTGTGCCCTTAAAGGCATACCATGTTAGATACATTGTCCATCAGCATGAGCAGTCTAGCATGGGCTTTGAATTAACTGACATTTGATGGCTGTGTGACCTTAGGCGAAGGCCTTAACCTCTCTGAGCTACTTCCATCATCTGTAAAATGGGAATAATGAGAATATTTACTCTCAGGGTTGCTGTGACAATTAAGCAAGTTAACAGACAAAAGGAGCTTGGCATAGTTCCTGGCGCACTGTAAGCCCAGATTTAACAAGGCAAGCATGTGGCTGAGCACAAGCCCAGCAGAGGTACAGGCTGGCTCATTTTGGGTTTTAAGCTAGGAATGAGCAACAGTTTTCAGTAAAGTACTAAAGAGTAAATATTTTAGGTTTTGCAGGCCAAGAGGTGAATTTCAAGATGTTATGTAGGTACTTAAATAATAAGCAAACTTTCACAACCTTATTAACTGTATTTGAAATGCGATTAATAACTGAGAACAATTTTCAAAATATATGTCTACCTAATGAGAATAATACGATTCCTTTTTAGGGGAATAACATTTCACTTAAGTAGGGATTGAATGTAAAAACCATCCTTAGCTCAGGGGCCATACAAAAAGAGAGAGTAGAATGGATTTGGCCCTCCGGTCGTATTCTGCCTGCCCCTATTTTAAGGGAAAAGATTCCCAAATATCAGAAAGTCATTTTGATACCCATAGCCTGACTTGTGGGGTGGGGGGAATTATGCTATATGTTCAGGTGCCCCCATTACTAAATGACAATGCATTACAGAATTAACACGAACAATACATTACAGAATTCACTCTTTTCTCCCCGTCTCAGTTCAAGTTGAACATTAGTTTGCAGTGCTCTTTCTGAAAATTTCATTGCCTGCTCAGTCCCACAGACAGTGCTCTACTGATAAACGGGGTGCTCGCAATGCTTAATTACAAATTAGAATCAATTTCAGAAATGGTAGCTCTATATTTCTAGTACTGTCCACTGATGCCAGCTTAAGCCATAGGGGCTCAACTGGCCAGACTTAAGACTAGTGGTTCCTAAGTATAGCCACTGGGAAGAAGAAATAAAGCACTTTGCAGCTGAAAACGTAAACTCTTCTATTTATGAAATCTCTTTTTTTCTTTGTATAAATTAGAGACAGATTCTCACTCTGTTGACTAGGCTGTGGTGGTACTGCAGCGTTGAACTCCTGGGCTCAAGCAGTCCTCCCCTCTCAGCTTCCTGAGTAGCTAGGACTACAGGCTTGTACCACCATGCCTGCCTAATTAAAAAAAAAAAAACAAAAAAACCCAAAAAACTAGTAGACATGAGGTTCTTGGGCTGTATTGCCCAAGCTGGTCTCAAACTTCTGGCCTCAAGCAATCCTCCTGCCCCAGCCTCCCAAAGTGCTGAAATTACAGCTGTGAGCCTATATGCCTGACTAATTAAATCTTAATACATGTAGATACCATAAAATGGGGAGAAGTGCTAGAGCTAGGTC